AGGGTATTTATTCCAGAATTTCCATCCTGGTGAGGGCAGTGCTATAAAAAAGACATAAACAACTTCAACGTGTATTTATTTAAGATATTTAAGATATTTATATCCTACCTCTCAATATATTTGAGGTGGCTTCTAACAACGTAATAAAATAGAATTAAAACAATGTAATAATAGTACAATCAGATTATATTTATTTATTTCATTTATACCCCGCCCTCCCCGCACGCGGGCTCAGGGCGGCTTACAAAACACAGAAATGTAATATAATACCACAAATTTAAAGACACACAGTTAAGACACACAGTACAATAAAATACAAGTTAAAACAATTTAACACAAGTGGACAACTCACAGGATCCATCGCGATTAACATGCTCACTCCCTATTGCACATCACATTGGGATCCACAAGGAGGATGCCATGGGCCACGATGTCCAGGTGGCCAGTCAGCCCAACCCGGCGGTACTGCTCTGCACTCGCACGTTGGCGGTAATGGCGGTTATAAATGTGAGGATATTGCACGTTGGGGGGTAATGGCAGTTATAAATGTGGGGATATTGCCTGCCAAGACCCAGTGCTAGGAAAGGATGCCGCCACCTTAACAGGAAGTAGTCTTCATTAGTAGTTATCAGTGCAACAATAATGAAGGTTGCAAAAGATTCCCTAGGCTGCATATCTTCTCAGATAAAGGCTAGGAGAGCTTCATTAAATTGGGGTCTTTCTCTTCTCTCGTCTGGAGCCCTTTTTCCCTTTGAAAGGAGAGATGAGAGACAATATTGATAGTTGAAACATTTTTTCATGAAGTTTTCTTTTGAGGTGCTGAAGGGGAGGTTGTCAGTTCACTTTCTCAAGGATAATTGTACAGTTTCTTTACCTGTAAGATCAGTTGTGCTGGCTGGCCTTCTTCAGCCAGCCAGCCTAAGTTTGATTATATGAAGCTCTTGAGTTAGAGGACCATTGGCCTATCAGGGGTGGAACTGTCTGTTCCGACTGGCAGTGGCTGTTCAGGAACTTGGGTAGAGGTCTTTCATCGCCGTCACTAACTACCTGATCCTTTTAACTGCAGATAGTTGTTGTTCAGTCGCACAGTCGAGTCCGACTCTTTGTGACCCCCATGGACCACATCATACCAGGCCCTCCTGTCTTCTGTTGTGCTCCAGAGTTTGCTTAATTTCATGTCCGTTGCCTTGATAACACTGTCTAACCATCTCAACCTTTGCCGTTTCCTTCTTCTTTGACCTTCAGGCTTTTCCAGCATCAGGGTCTTCTCCAGTGAATGCTCCCTTCTCATTTGGTGGCCAGAGTATTTGAGCTTCAGCTTCAATATCTGGCCTTCCAGGGATACCTGGGGTTACCTGGTGCTAATTCTCAGCTGCATGCAGAAGACTCCATAGCTATCTCCAAAAAAGTCCATTATAGTTGAGGCAGAAGTGGAGCTGTGTATATTTGTAAAAGTCACATATTAATATATAAAAGCCACATATTCAGAGTCCATAAGTATATTGAAATGGAATTATAGACGCGTTAATGAAATTCTCTGTCCACTTATACCTCATAAGAACATAAGAGATGCCAATGTTGGATCAGGCCAAAGGCCCATCACGTCCAACAGTCTGTATCCCACAGTGGCCAGAAATACCAGTGCCATCAGGAGGTCCACTAGTGGGGCCCGGACATTAGAAGCCCTCCCACTGTTGACCCCCCCAAGCACCAAGAATACAGAGCATCACTTGCCCCAAAGCCCCTATCTATACCTTGTGGCTAATAGCCACTGATGGACCTCTGCTCCATATGCTTATCTAATTCCCTTTTGAAGCCTCCTTCCTCAGTAGCAGTTATGCAGGGATACATAAGAATACATCAAATTGTTGTGCGATATTTCGGAAATGCTGTGCACAGCACCTTGCAGTTGGACCTGTACAAAGCAATTGTTTCTGTTCTTTTGCAGTATTGGAAAGTAAGCAAATCCTTCCAATGAAGAAATCATTTTTCTATTATTACGTTTAGTACATCATTTTAAAGCACAAATTGTTTTAACTGTTTCAGAAAAGGAAGCAAAGTACGTCCATTTCTCCCCCTTTAGAGGTTAATAGATTCTGAGTATCTAGATTTAACACAAATATAATTCACTTGATTATCCCATGTTTTCTTGTAGATATTTATTTTATTTACAATTACATACCTTAATTGGCATAACAAAACTACAGAACCACTTCACAGCCTGGGTGCAAGTACAGAACTGAAAATCAATAGGTCTTTGATTTTAGTACTTCAGCTAAATAATTAGCCACAATTTCAGTAACATCTGGAGTGGAGTCACTCAGGAGATAACGACATTTACGCTCATTAGTCAGATGTCTTTTTGACTGTAATACATTGAAGAGTATTTTCCCCCAAAATCAACTCATAAAACAAAACAATCCAAAATTATGTTGTTAATTGAGTCCAAGGAATTTAGACCGCAGGGGCAAATCCGATCCCGAAGTGGAGAGTGTGTCGAGGTCCCATTAAAACAACGTAGTCACTTCTCGTAGAAAATGGTACTTTATTGAGGCAATGGGTCACTAGAGAGGTTTCTGTTTAGAATAACATGAAAGGACCATAGCAAGTAATATAAACGAAATTCAAAACTCTGCTAAGCCAATGAGTCTATTTCCCGCTTGGGGAGTTCAGAGCGCCAACTTGCTGGGAACCAAACGCTCCAGTTATCGGTACTAAGCTTTTCTCAAGCTCTGCTAATTAAAACAAAAAGCTGCGGCCATCCTTATCACACACCTGCTTGGCCTTGAGTGCTGCATGGTTCACTAACAAGCTCTACGTCTTTGGGCATGCGCCTGGGTTGCTAAGCGAGAGATAATAAACAATACCCAAAGCAGGAGGAAATTACACGGGTTACAAACTACAGGAACAAAGCATGTGCAGAGTGCATAGACCGTACATCGCTACAAATACAGAATTTGGCAGCTTGCTGACAGAGTGTCGGCAACGACCGAGAAGAATCATAGAAGGGAACACATTCAGTCTAGCCAGGGAGAAGGCTCTACATTGATCGGGATCTTCTCCTCCATTTGCGTGATTTATTTATTTATTTTATTTATTGCATTCATGGGCTGCCTTTCTCCCTGCACAGACCCAGAACAGCTCACAAGATGAAAAACAAAAGCCAGTCGTTTCCACACTTCTCCTGAACGGCTCTTGGTTGATGATCCTGGCTTACTCAGAGGCGCTTGTCTATGAGCCATGAGCCCAGAACCTTTTGGCTCACAACTAGGGGTGTGCACAAAAAGAAAAGAAAAATCAGTATTTTTCAGGTTTGGGAATACCAACCCCCCAAAATATCGGTATATACCGATATTCCCAAATATTGGGATTCGGAAAAATTGGTATTGCTGAAAGTATTCCGCTCCGTACCTCCCTTTTCTTCCTGAGTTGCGCTGTGGCAGTGGCCACAGCACGCCTCAGCAAGGAAAGGGAAGGTATGTCTCTTGAAATGCCTTCCCTTCCCTTGCAGAAGCATGCTGCCGCTGTGGAACAACTCAGGGAGGGAAAGTATTTAAACTTTAAATACCTTCTTTCCCGGGTTGCGGCATGCTTCAGGGAGGGAGGGGAAGGCTTCAAATGCCATTAAACCCCTCCGTTTGGCTTCCCCCTCCTTTAAAGGGGGGAGAAAGCCAAACAAAGTGGTTTAATGGCTTCCTCCCATTTAAAAGGATCAGTGCAGTGGGTCACCTGTCAGCTGACCCTTTTAAATGGCAGGGAGGCATTCAACCCCTCCGTTTCACTCCCTCTGCTCCAGAGCTGGGGAGAGCGAAACCAAGGGTGAAGTCTTCCTCTCATTTAAAAGGATCAGTGCACAGGCGGACCCGTCGCACTGATCATTTTAAATGGGAGAGGAGAGGCATTCAACCCCTTGGTTTTGCTCTCCCTGGCTACAGAGCAGGGGAGAGTAAAATCGAGGGGTTTTGACCCACTTTCCCTTCTCTTCCTCAGCTGGCCCACTGTGGCAGGTTAGCTAGGGAAGGGAAGACTGATTGGGGAGGCATGTCTAAATGCCCCCCTTCCCCAGGCGGCCCACCGTAGCAGGGCAGCTGGGGAAGGGAAGACAGATTGGGGAGGTATGCCTTCCCTCCCCTCCCCAAGCTGGCAGCTTGGGGAGGGAAGGCAATGGTCAGTTTTAGTCCACTCCACTTGGAAGCAGAGGGAACTGAAACTGACCGACTCTCCTTTCCCTTCCTCAGCTGCCCTCCGTGCTGGGGCAACCGGGGAAGGAAAGACTTATCGGGGACTCTGAATAAAACCCAAATAAGATCGGCTTTTATTCGGGATCACCTTATTGGTAGCTGAATCAGATTAGAGAATCTGAATTGGCTTAATAAATACTGGAAAAATACAGATAAGGTATTTTCCAGGTATTTATTGGTTTGGCTCATGCCCAGTGCACACCCTTACTCACAACCAAGGACTTGAGCCTCTGCCATCACGTACTCTGTTAGTACGGCAGGAAAATGAGAACTAATTCAGCCCAGCTAGAATTCAGCTACTGCTAGCTTGCTGCCAGCAAAGTCTTCTTTACTTCTCCCCTGCGTATCCACAGCGCACACAGGCTTTCCCATTCCCAGGAATTTCTTTTATTTTCACTACATTAAAACAGCTCTCCGAATTGTGTCTGGTATACAGGGAAATGGGAGGGATGGCTACATGAAGCTAACCTCTCCATCATAGTGACTGGGGCAGTCTGTTTGTATATGTAGCAGAATCTGGTATTTTCAGGTGCAATAAAGTGTATTTCAGTGTATAGCTTTTCTTTTTCTTTAAGTACATATAGACGAGTGTTGAAACTGAAAAGAGAGAAATTTATTTGGCTAATATCTCTCTTGCTAGGTAATCCTTTATTAAAAGGAATTACTTGTGCTTGGCAATAATTAAGTTTTATGTTCTGTGTTTTGCTACTACAGTGTCTACTTTTCACTGTAATGAAATTGCCTTTCTGTTTCATTTAGGCTTGAGAGTAACTGTGTTGTTAACATCATCCCTCATGGTGTTAGGAGCTGGTCTGAGATGTGTACCTGTGACAGACCAAACAACAAGGAAATGGTAAGAGAGATATTCATTTATTTGTTCTCTGGAGGGAAAAAAGTTACAAATTATTTTAAGAAGAGGATTCAAAAGTTGTTACCATGTTGTGCACTCACAGCTATCGTTTTTTGACCATTGTTGCTAACTTAAAAAGTCAAATCTAATAATAACTGCTAGTCATTTTTTCACTTTAAATTAGTTGCCAACTGAAAAAGAGTCCTTCCTATGTTTTCAGTTTGTGATTTTGAGGTACGAGGCTGTGTTTTTTAATCAACATTTTCATCTGCTCTGTAATGCTTAGTGTTGCTCCTGTCATGTTCACACACATCTGACTATGCTGGCTCATCATGCTCAGTCAGCCCAGGCTAGGCACTTTTGAGTACAGTGGCCAGCCACTACTTATCCTTGGAGACTTCAGTCTGGAGTATTTTTCAAATCTTAGAGCAAGAGATCTGCTGCTGTACAGTCTGTTTCGAAGAGGGTAGGCCTTCAGTGACTAGCAGTATCACTCTGAATTGTGTCTGGTATACAGAGAAGCGGGAAGGATGGTTGCATGGTCATCAGATCAGGGTCAGTACTTGGAAGAGAGACCACCAAAGAAGACTCTGCAGAGGGAGGCAGTGGAAAACCCTCCCTGCTTCTCATTTGCTTTGAAAGCCTCTTGCAGTAGGCCCGTGGCCAAGGTTTTTTAATGGGGGGGGGCTTTAAATAAGCCAGGGGCACCCCCCCACACACCCGAAGTGAGCAGCCCCGCTCCCGTCGTTCCTTGCAATCACTTGGCTTTAGGGTAGGGCTTGGTAGCAGGGGAGGGGGCGAGATTCCTGTGCCAGCTGCCGATTTCTTGGCACAGGCAGGCTTGGCCCCTTGGGGGAGGGAGGGGGAGACGGAGGCTTGGACCGACTCAGGCATGACGTGGGGAAGGAATTGGACCAGTCAGACTTTGCTGCCCCGAGAACCTCAGCGAGTCGAGATGGAGAGCGGAGTCTCTGAGCCAGAGGCCGGGCTGAGAGGCTGCTCAGAGCTGCACCTCAGCAGATAGCAGGATTCCTCCCAGAGGACACGTCCTCAGATGTTGGGGTGTAGGCGGGGTCTGCAGTGCTAGCCTCCTCCCCCCCAAAAACCCAGTCTGCTCCCCAGTCAGGCCCATGGAAACAAAACATGCCTCCCTCCCTCCCTCCCTCTCTCCCTCCCTTCCTTGCAAACTGCAGTCCAAACCAGCGAGCAGGGGGTGGGGGTGAAACCTGAAAGACAATGCCGTGCCAGCATCAGGCTTGGCATCACCTTCAAGATGTGAGAACGGGATTGAAGGTGAAATGAAAAGCAGACTCTGCTGGACAAGAGGGCATAGGCGTAGAGTATGTGGGGGCGCGGGCCATCCCCGATTTTTTCCAAGAGGGACTGCGCCTCTCCTGGGCAGTCAGCGCTAGTCACTGAAGACGAAGGAGGAAATCAGGCTTGCCTATTGGCAAAGTGGAGCAAAAGCTCCTCCCGTCCACCGCAGAGGTGGCTGGGAGAAAAGAGAATGCGAGCGCGGGAAAAGAGACACTGGGGCAGCATGCAGCCACCTAGCTCGCAACTCAGCGAGCGAAGGGGGGATGGACAGAGCTGGCCGCAGCAGCAGCAGAAGGAGGTGAGCCAGGAGACAGAAGGCCAGCCAAGGCACACATGCGAGCCCCTTCCCCTTCCCTTGGCCAGGTGGCTGGGCCGGGAGGCTGCTGGGGGGGGGGGCACGGCAAGCTGTGCCAAGGAGAGGGGCAGAGCCACCAGGCATGGTGCAGCAAGCCAAAGCCAAACCATGTGGGCGCTGCTGTTGCTTGCCGCCCTTCCTCTCCCCCCCTCCCCCTGTCCGGTGCTGGCGCTGCCTCATCTACTGGTCCCTGGAAACAAGGCGAGCTGGCGGTGTTGGGCAAGCTGTCTTGCTCCACCTGGCCACAGCTTCCCCCGAGCGAGCAAGCGAGTGGCCGGGCTCCGAAGCTGTCGGGGGCTGCGGGCGTCTCGTTAGGGAGGTCGGGGTAGTGGGGAGGGGTTGGCTTGTGGGGTGGGGTTTTTCCCCAGGCCACACTTTGGAGCCGTCAGGGTGGCTGTGGGCCCCTCTCTGGGAAGGGAGGTGGGGATGTGTGGCCGAGCGGGGCGAGTAAGCTGTCTCCCAAAAGGGGAAGCTTCGCCAGCCTGAGGATTCTGTGAAATGCCCCTTCCTCTGCTCCCGTTGGGAGTTTCAGGATCCCCTTACCCTCCTCTGTGGGACGGACTGGAAAAGAGAGAGGCAGTTTTTTCCTAGAAACTCTGGGACAGAGAACAACAACAACAACAAAAGCATGGCAGAAAACCATCCCTCCTCTTTGGAAATAAAGCAATGATATTTTTCTCTCCTTTGCTCCCGGCAGCGGGGCTTCTGAGCTCTGGAAGGCTTTAAAAACAAGCCTGTGTCTGGATCTCTGCTTGCAAAAAGCATGCTACTGCTCAGAAGCAGGGACTGGCTGGGGGGGGGAGAGATCCACCCACTCCCTCCCCCCTCCTCTGCTCCAGGCTTCTGAAGGGTGTGTGTGGAAAGAAAGTGAACATTTTCTTTTTCTCCTCCATTGAAGGCAGGGTTTGGAAACAGAGCAAAACAAACGTCTCTCCCTCCCAGGTCCAGAACAATGTTAGAGTCCAGTGGCACCTTTAAGACCAACAAAGTTTTACTCAAGGCGTGAGCTTTCATGTGCACTCGTTCTTCGTCAGACAATGAAATGGAACTACAGTCAGATCATAGTTGTATCCAGAGGAAGCATTTTAAAACACATGCAAAGATCTATGACTGTTAGTGCCTTCCACTGGTGAATTACTGGGTCTAACGGAGTCTTCAGACCCTTGTGTAGGTGTACAATGACCAACCATCTGGTTTGAGCTGCTTTGGGCAAGTTGGAGCAAATGATAAATATCGTTATTAAGTTTATTTTTCCCCCAAAACAATTTTTATTCTTTTTCAAAAGGAATATAGAATTCAACAAATCTAGGTTGCTTCACTTAGAGAAGGGGGGAAAAAAGAATACTAGAAGATTTCTATCTCATAACAACTTACATGCTTTCGGAATACAGAATACGGAGTGATAAACTTATAACTTGCCAACTGTCAATCATTATTTTATATCTAGCTTTATTAAGTTTATATACATACAATGAGTGCTACTATTTGCTTTGCAATTTCTACGTGAAATTTATCAGTGCTTAGCATTTGCTCAGGGTGCCCTTTCAAAGTTTTGTTTATCCCTTTACTGCTGCAGAAAGATCTTTCTTGGTCATGGGGCCAATTTCCTGGCATGGCCTTCTGGAGGAGGTTTAGCAGATACCCTCCTTACCTATTTTTAGGATGATGTGCAAGGCCATCTTTCCATGGGCTTTTTGACTGTTATTTGTGTCTGATGTTGAGGGCTGCATTATAAAGAAAATGAACCTATCATTGGCTGCACCTGTATTGATGTTGGTTATGTTTTTTGTTATATTCTTTCTGCCATATTGTTAATTACTTTGACTCTCAGATTTGATAGGTGCTTCATAAAAATAGAGTATTAATATCCAGATAAATAAATAGGAAATATAAATACTAAGTGCTGCTATTCCATCACAGAAAGATGGCCAGCTTAAGTGCAGCTTGTTGAGTTCCAACGGGATGCCAAGACTACTTGCTATCGAATGAAAGGTTCTTGGATTAAAAATATTTTTATAAGTAGGTGTTCAGTCACACTCATATGTTGAAAGCAAAGTTGGGTCCTCCCTATGATGTCACTGGGCCTCGGTTCTTTTAAGGACCTAGCATAGCAGTTCCTCTGGCCCAGTCCCAGGCCCCCTGGGAAATTGGAAAGTCTACGCCCTCGCAAGAGGGGTAGGTGGCCTTTGGTCACTCAGAGAGCCTGACTATTCCCGCTGACCCAGGCTGTGCTTGGGAGCCCAGGTTGCCAGGGCATGATAGTGGCGAGCCTGCCCAAGGAGGGTTCCATGATTCCTCCCCCCCATTCCTTCCCCTGGGGGCTGCTTCTACTCCAGCCGTAGCTGAATGTGAGAGAGGTGAGAGAGCGGTGTGGGATTGGAGGGTGATCCAGGGCTTGACGTCTTGTTGGCTTGCCGGCAATGAAATAGCAAGAGAAAGCGGCAGTGGCTGGTGACGAGTGCCATAAATAAATAAAAAAATGGAATTCAGGGGACCTGGGCTGGATGGGAAGTCATGGGGCCCTGGCAGTAAGTCAGGGCGGCGGGCCCCGAGAGGCCTCACCATAGCTACAATCCTTTGCGGGGATCACTAGGAGTTTCCTGCAGCTTAATGGCACTTTGCACGCACTTACACGGAAGTCATATTGCTATTAAAGCTTTGGTGTCCCATGTTTTTTTTAGAAAGATGGGTAACCTAGCCCTACTCGTGCTGAAACGTCTCGTGTTTTTCACAGAAAATTCTGCATTTATGATTTTTTTACTGCACCTGTCAGTTCACACAAGCACGACTGGCGGAGCACTGTTTCGGCCGAAACAAAACCGTACCTGAGAATTTCGAGTTAACGTTGAATCGGATTCGTTTGACTGAACAGAGCGAGTTTGTGGAAAGAGGTCGTTGTCCCTTCCTACTGCCATTCTCTAGCCACTTCTGGTGGTCTGGAGCTCCTTGGAAAGGGAGGAGAGTTGAATTAAGAATGGGGAACTGGCAGCAATTCACCACCACTCCAGCAAGACCGCTTGCTCGGTCTGTGAGAAGTGCTTTTGCAAGAGAGGACAGGAGTGATTTCTACCAGTTTCTCTCAATGCTGCAGCACCACTTGTTATGTCTCCCTCAGGAGTGGCTCTTCAGGGAGCATTGGAGGCTGCAGTGAGAAGTGGAAGTTGGAACAAGTTTGGTAGAAGAATTTTTCTGTTTCTGGATGATTGATTCACCCAGGGAATTTAAGAATAATTTAAGACTGCACCTGTGACGAGAGGCGTTTCAGCCCCTTCACTGAGTGGAAGTGCTAATTTTATCAGAGCTGCCTACTACCATTAACTCCACTAGGCTT